GGGGGGGGAGGAGGAGGGGAGTGCGTGAAATGTCACTGTGATCGAAGCTTTTCCCAGCGAACCATCTAGCTATCATTTGGACGGCCACCAGCATCACTGGACTGCCTTAATTTTCAAAGGCTTGATGGCTTATGAATTTTTTTTTTTTGAAAAATGATGGCCCTAGACTCCCTGATATTTTGTAGGAAATTCATAACAGGTGGAAATTTTGGATGGTCTCTAACCTGAATCCTGGGAAAAGCACTGACTGTGATAATAAAATTTTAGCAAGTTTCATAGAAACAAGTTTCATAGAAATTTTTAATTTTCTTTATTCCTTGAAGGGTGATTTTTTTCATTGCAGCACAAAAACCTATCCCATGTATATCAGTAGGACTCTACACTCCATGTGCTTCATTTTCTTATGTAATGTGTGGCATATGGTAAGGAGTGTAGTGCAGAATGTCTCTATGTATAGTGTCCTGGTGGGAAAACCCATTACAATGACGAAACCCGTCTAGGACAGTCCCACTCACTTGCCTACGCACTCTGCCTGGATATCACTCATAAACATGTTTACATCAAATTCTAAGTTGTTTTCTTGTACAAAGTCATCCACTCTCAGGTGCCCTGTTATTGCCACATTATTCCACATATTCACAGAACTACCATGATTTTACAAATTTCAGATCTTCTCAGTAAGACTTTGTCCCAATCTCCTATTACTACTATATGTCCCACTCTCCCATTATGGCTATGTCCCACTCTCCAGTCACGACCAAGCACCATCTCCCACTACAGCCATGTCCCACTCTCCCATTATGACTGTCCCACTCTCCAGTCACGACCAAGTCCCACTCTCCAATTACGGCTACAGTATGTCCCACTCTCCCATTATGACTATGTCCCACTCTCCAGTCACGACCATGTCCCACTCTCACATAGGGACTTTGTCCCACTCTCCCATTATGGCTATGTCCCACTCTCCAGTCACGACCAAGCACCATCTCCCACTACAGCCATGTCCCACTCTCCCATTATGACTGTCCCACTCTCCAGTCACGAATGTGTCTCATTCTCCAATAATGACTTTGTCCCACTCTCCTAAACTATGTCCCACTCTCCTGACTACTGATACTCACACATCCTGAAATTCCTCCAATGTATCTGTGGGAGTAAACACATCTAACAGGCCAATTATCTGGAAATAAAAGAAGAATATCACTTATTAAAATAATATATAAAATAAATTACTACAGTATTTAGTGGATATAACTGGTGATGCTTTTTTTTCAGATCAAGGATTGCGTGGTAAGAATGCACCTCTCGGCTGACCCAGAACTATTCAAAATAAATCACAGAAACACTTATTTTCAGAGATTGCTGTAAATCCACTTCTTGCACCGACATGTTTTTGTTTTCTCCAGAAACACCCTGAGTTTCAGATAATATTAGATAACAACCTTTCTTTATTAGCTGTTTGTTATTTCCATTCACTGGAATTCCATTCACTTTGAGACTCAGGGTGCCCCTACAGTACATAGATTGCATGCTGTACATTATTAGGGTTCTTCCATGCCTGATTAATACCCAACTCAGCTGTGTTTTCTCTTATCTTATATTACATGAGTTCCCACTAAGATACATACTTGTAACTTGTTATGAACCAGAGTCCTTTACCCCAGTAACAGCAGAAAAATTAAGGGAAATACAGACAAGGTTCGAAGCCAGATTGCTTTAGGGCCCATTCAGATTAGTCCATCGTACTAGCTGGGTCTGTCCAACTTTGCAGGGGATTCTCCATGAAGTGCAATCAGTGGAATCAGCACAGTCAGCACATGATAGTTAATTACCCCCCAGCTGCTTAAGGAGGCGTGTCAGACAATTAAACCAATTTCACTGATTGCAGTTTAGCAAGAATCCCCTGTAGAGATGGACCAACCTAGCTACTACAATAAGTGAATCTGAATGTGATCTTAGACCTTGCATGTATCTCCATCAGGGGCCAGTTTTACAAAAGATCTTTAGCCCAAAAATCAGTCTAAACTTTTAGAGCAAAAATGTGGTCTTCTTTGACATGAGGTAACTCTGAAGTGGTCTCATCAAAAAGTAATACTGGGCTTGTTATGTAACATATATTTTATCTAGGAGCATGTTATATCGCAACAAAAGCACCTGTCACATAGGAGCATTCATAAAAGTTTTAGTCAACAAAGTCTTGACCTTGTCCCCATATGTCTGGTCTGGTCATGACCTGCACCTCATACATCTATGTCTCTGGTTCATCCACATTTTGATAAACTTCATGCTCTTGTCTAAACAGAATCTTGTTGTAGATGGGATATCAAGAACTCCTAACTATTTGATCTTAATTATGGTTTCTTTGGTAATAGTACAGATTTGAATGTCATATCTGTTATGCTCATGAAGCCAGTGTGTCACTGTCAGATTGTCCTGATCAGATACAATAAACAAACGGTCATGACCTGCGCCTGATATATCTATGTCCCTTTACGAGGAGCTCATCCACAGTTCTTGTCTAAAGAAATTTTTATTGTATCCAAGAACAAATGGAAACTTTTTCTTCACTCTAGTATCACTGTATTGCTGTTAGATTGTTTCATGTTTTCAGTCATAAAACTAGGTCCAGATCAAACAGAAACTTCAAATGACAGAATTTGCCAATTTGCAAATAACAAAAAAAAAAAAAAAAAAAAAAAAAAAAAAAAAAAAAAAAAGGAGTAGAAAATGGAAAGAGAAAAAGAAGATTAAATCTACAACATTTTATAAATCTTGTTTCAAGCCTTCCTTGTTTATGCAATACCACAGTGACTACATCAGGATCACAGGCGTTGTATTGATAAATACGTATTGTATGATCAATACATTGGCCACTTATCCATTTAATACCTCACACATTGACCTTTACAAGAGTCTAGATAGTGGAGATGTAGTTGTACAGAAAAGCACCACTGCTAGCAATAGTTTGTGTACATCAAGTATGGTAAAACTTGGAAATTTTGTCATTTAAAAATCAATTAATATTTTAATATGCGTGAAACCAACGTGGTCATATCAGTGATTGCGAAAGAGATTGAAAACTTACCAGACATGTGGGCTGGAGCAAATTAAATTTTGTCAGCCCACACCTTTTTTTACCGGCCCACAACAAAATAATCAAGCTGTATATTTTCACTTCATTTTTGATGAATATTATTGTCTGGCATTTTAAATCGTTGCTTTTTAATTTTCAGGCCAGATGTAATAGGATGTTTAAAGGTTTAAGTTTAAACGTCTTTCATTTTGGTTGCTTTCTGGCATTTAAGTTTTATCCTTTTTACATCTGGGTTGCCTATCTTAATTTCTAATCTTTTAACACAAGATCATGTATCCTTTGTAAATTTTATTCCAATTTTTGACTTAAATTAAAACATAAGTCATAGTGAAGTGGAGCTTCCAACTTTTGTAACGTTTTTTAGATTTTCACTCTTGGAAAAATGCTTGTCTGTTAACAGGGATTGTCCTGGGTCAAAATCTGGTCGGGCCATTTTGGCCCACTTGGTCAAAAAAAGTGTGCCATTTTTTAAAAATGTGTGCCGTGAATTATTTAAAGAAAATTCATTGTATTTCAATTTTTTTTTATATGATTAAAATCAATGAAAAAAGGCTTAATGCTACTACTCTGAAGTCCTAAATAATTGTAGTGTGTGGAAAAATCTTCCAAAATAAACATACTGTCTGAAAAATTGTACAGTACTTAATGGAAAAATCTTCAGAATTGATAATTGCACTATGCCAAATAATTGCACTACATGGAAAAGGTAGACAAATCCCATTTTTATTGTAAAATAAAGCTATTGCTCTCATAGCAGGCCCGTAGCCAGCAATTTTAAAAGGGGGGGGAGGGTCTTTTTCCATAAAAACGCCATGTACCTAGATCAAATTTTACCAAGAGTGGACCTTTTGTCAGCATAAGAGGCGGTTCTTTCGAAACCCCTGAACCATCCCTGGCTACGGGCCAGAGTCTGAAAAGAATTTTTATTCAATATCTAAGACTAAAGTTTAGATGAATATACTGTAATGGACAGTTTTGCACCCTGACTGTGCCATTGCGGATTTTCCGCATGGAAAATGATGTTGTCCCTCATTTTGACATATAGCACCGCTAAAGGCGCAATATGACTTAAAATATCCGTTAAAATTAGTTAAGAGCACCCATCTAAAAAGCAAATGAATATTTCTCCTTTTCACTTATCGTTTACTCAACATGCAGTCCGACGGAAGCCATACTTGTTTATCCAGCACGTGTAGTTAGGTGTTCTCAGAGGTCCGCGCGTGGCCAGTCGTAAGCAGTTTGAGCGGCCTGTTTTCAGAGTCTTGAGCAGTACGTTTTTCATTGACCTGTAGTTGTTTCAGTTTCGATACATTTTTTTTGTGAAACGGGTCACATGTCAGCCCTCACACCATCGCTACGCACACTTCAAGCGACATCATAATGTACGTAGACCTTTATTACAAAACGCGCCAGTATGGTGCAAGTTAAAGTTTTACTTGCGAATAGTGCGCACTTAGAGCTTTACGATAAATTCAAATATGAGGCGAGGTGTCTGTTAAAGAAACTGACTTTAGTCCGTCGGACATGTGGGCCGATGAGTTAAAAGGGTTTTCCAGCCCACAGAACTTTTGCCGGCATATGGCCGTGGTCCGACGGCTTTCGCAATCACTGTCATATTACCTGACAAACTTTTTAAAATGATCAACATGCCCATTTTCCCGTGTGACTTAAATTTCAAAATAAAAATATGTTGGCTAAGAATCATCCTCCAACACAATTTTCAAGACTGCCCCAATTTTCAAGTTTTTACACTAAATACAAAAATGAACAATGAGATCACAATGGTTTAAAGGAGTAATTTCTCATGAAGTAACAGAAAAGCATTATAATTTATAATTTATTAATCAGCTTTAGACTGTCTTGCTTCAAAAAGATTCAGCATGACAGAAACAATTTCTAATGAGCTTAACAAAAACCAGGAAGTAAAGTGCTACAAACAAGAGTATTCCACTCACGTTTTCATGGTTCATATGTTTCAACATGCGTATTTCCCTGTACGTCCTCTTGGCATGGATGGGGGACTGGAACGGCCTCGCCAGCTTTTTTATGGCCACTTTTTGGGAGCTGTGCGTGTCTACTGCTGAGCTGAAAATAAAACAGTTATAAATAAGTATTTATAACAATTATGAAGTTATTCTGTGAATATAACAACTATATATTAACAGGCACCAGGCACAGTTTTGACTGGAAGTTCTACCAAGATCTTTGAACCTACCCTCTACCAGGGTGGTAGATATTATAAGCAAATTTTACAGAGAACCAAATGACAGTCTATTTATCTAATTTTAAACATAGGCTGTGAATATCTTGTAAAAATCAACCTGTGGCCCTGGTAGAGGATACCTTGAACCCAACATTTTCTTTCTGTAGTAGGGGAGGAGGGGTGGACTGTCAATTTTGATGCCACTTTCATAAAATTATTATTCCTTTTTTTTTTTTTTTTTGGGGGGGGGGGGGGTACAGCAGACATCGATGCCCTTGATGAAACGTAATCAACAAGGTCCTGATAGTATCATTCTACTTGCTGATAAGTGATGTTAACCTGGAGGTGCCTAGGGCACATGAATGATAATCACAGATTCACACTCCTGAACACATCACCCACTCAGAAATGTGATAAGAGAAGGGGTTGTTGGTTTGAATGAGGACATCTAACACTGCAGTAAGCTTACTAGTTCTGGGAGATTGTTCTTTATCAGTATATATATACAAATAAACTGTTATACAACTAAGTTACTTATGCTACATGCTTGATGTGTGCCAGTTAAGGTTGTCTTGGCAACCTCATAGCAGAATTGTTTTTTTTTAAATTATATAATTTACTGTAGCACAACTTGGCTAATTGCATCCTAAGATTTTCCATATATATTTGCCAGCAACAATGACTCACATGGCTAAGAATTCTCTACAAATAAATGCCAATGGTGAAATGAAACTGCTTTGGTAACTGACAAAAGCCTCACTAAATGTGAAAGTGATAAGTAAACAAACTTCTATTTACTATCAATTAAAAAGTGGAGGTAGAAATGATAAAACATTGTTTTCACTTTATGTTAAACTGTAAAAGAACATTTCAGCAGTTTTTCTGTCATTTAATATGATAGCAGTGTCCACTGATGTGTCAACTACAGATCTACTGATTCAGAAAAATAATTTTCTCTATCAATTCATTTTAACATTGTTTTTAAAACTTTCTACAGTAAAATTTAATTAGAGGAAAACTTAGGTACAGTTATGGACTCTGTCTGCTGCAGTTAAGCAGTTTGTGCATTACTATTTTTTCCAAAAATATCTGGAATATGGGAAAGTTTTAAACAGAAAGCGAAATCAACGCGTAGTACTACAACACCAGCTAAGTGGGCCAACTTAAAGGTCAAAATGACGAAGGAGTCGGTTCTGTACTGCTACAGTAAACATAAGCAAGGAAGTTTTTCGGTGTATAATATTTAGCAGAGACGTCTGCGAGTCGAGCAAGTGTTAATTACAGATGACAAATTAAATCAAGCACCCACGTACCAAACTTGACCATAGGCGCCTGATCCCACGGGCTGCAGCATTTGGTAACGTTCGGGAACCTCCCAGACCGCTTTGTTAAGTTCAAGACGGTAGAACCCAGGCTTGATCGCCTGGGCTGAATTTCCGGCTTCCGCCATCAATCGTTGTGGTATCTCCACGACCAGTTCTGGGCTGATTCAGATCCTGCGTCCTCTGAAAACGTATAGACTTTAAATGGATATTCTTGCAGTGAAGTCCTGGAAATTCCCAAGATCGCTGTTTCCGTGTGATTCACCCTTTGATTTCCGGTTTCCCATGCGCATGCGTGCCCGAGTCTCGTTTTCACTTCGAGGAGTCGTGGCACAGCACAACTACTGTAAACACCCCAACATTAATAATAAATTAGGTGAGTTATAACGAGTTCATAAATGCCATAGGCACCAGGATTTGTTCATAGAGTGTATATGTCGTCAACTGTGACAAACATAGGTCTTTTTAGTGAAATCTGCTCTGATGAACTATTTATGAAATTTGCCGGTTGCTCACTTTCCCCATTGCCTTACAAAAACGACTTACAATTCTGGCACTCATGTTTACGATATATAGACCACATTCATGTTTTGTAAACGGGAAATATAAGTGTTTTCTTATTACGTGTATGCTTTTCATTGTTCTGGCTCTGGGACAACAATGAACATATAATATGAGGGTTAGACATTAATATCACCGCCTTCAGAAAAAGTTGATATGACAGGTCGATTTAGCAGGTCTGAATGCACTTATGATGGCTGTCTCCTTATTAAAAGATATTTAATCAAGGAATTGAGAAAATGAACAGACACAGAAAATGTCGTAGAAAAAACATTAAGTGGTTGACAAAATGAATATGAAAGATTATATTTTACTGTATACTAGTTTAGCTGTAAATTTTATTATTTGTTCTGTCATAATTTTAAACATAATTCTGATATCAAGACCAAACTTTTTTAAAACAGTGACATGAAAACAGAATTTGGTTTCTTAAAACATCTTCATTACTTTAGGAAAATTATTGATAAACTGTTTCAGTGCAAGTGTGATGTAATTTTTGTTTGCAAACCCAAATTTGACTACATGTATTATGGACCACACCCCTTTTAGCCATCTATATATGGGCTGTATAGCAAACACAAATTAATTGTGATCAATGTTAAATTTTAAATACTTAAGAGCTACTGGTCCATATGTGGTGTCACATGAAAAAAACTGATGGTAAGATGCACCACACGCATCTGATAGAAAAATGATAAGATCATCAGGTTAGAGATAAAGATAAAGCTGACCAAAACAGATGCTTTGTTTATGTTTTATTAGTGTTTCCCTTTCCTTCCTTTTTCTCCTTTTCTTTTTTGTTACCTTTTTTCAAATGCTCGAAAAAAACAAAGCAACCACCATCACTATTGCAGACTTTGACACAAACACCTTTGTTTAATTATGTCACAAAGTAACATAAGACTGCATCATGAAAAGATTTAAGCTGATATGTAGATTTTTCATGTTTTTGATTCCTTTATATTAAGTTAACAAATGTGTTTAGTAACCCCCTCCCCCAGCAAATGTGAAAGAAATTGCTATGTTGCCTTTTTTTTATTTTCATAATTCATTCCCCCCCCCCCCTTTCGCTCCAGTGGTTGATATTTATTAACACAAAAAGTGTCAAGGATCATGCTTGAACATTATTTGATTATAATATGGAGTAAACTGAATCAACCTTTTGTGTCTTTATATAGAGTTTGTGACAATAATATGTTAGCTCTGTTTTATTGAAACACATAACATTGCATTCTTTCTTTAAAGTTTCAAAAATCAGGAATATTTTCTATACTAGTATAGCAAGCTATTATTGTGTGTTTGAATTCCTAAGCCTATAACACAGGTAGATGTACCATGTAGATGTATGTACAGCTGCCAGGTGATCCACTGGTAGTGTTCAATAATGTAGGCTCAGCTGCTGCATTCTGATGTCTGGAAGTCCACAACTAGTTAATACAGTGGCGGTATGCAAGCTGAGACCACTGCGTGTGTGCGTGTGTGTATGTGTGATGTGTGTGTGTGAGTAGCACACCTTATTTGTGTTTACATTTTTGCCCGAGAACTCGTCAGCATTTTCTGTAGATTCAGATTTATGATTTTTCAAAACCAAATCGGTGGTGGATTGTTAGATGTGGGCAGTTGCATTTCATTTCATTCTTTAGCCACATTAAACCATTGTAAACATTGTAAGGATTCGTTAGAGCTTTTAGGTAGAAAGTGTGGACATACAATACCATTTCCTGTATAAATAAAGTGCTATTGAAACAGTTCTATATGTTCAGTTGTGGAGTTTTATAATAATGATCAACCTTATATATACACAGTTCAGATGTGATATCCCAGTAACTGAACATTATTATTGGGTCAAAAATTTTATATCTGATGGAGATGGAACATGAGAGTGACTTTGTGTGTGCTCAGGTTGCACAGAGTGTAATATCATAATTTAGCGATTCACCTAAATGACTACAATATATTAGGGAAGAAAGCTGATGTGAAGATAAGTCTTTGGGATATAAGAGAGTAATTATTTTGAGGATAAAGTAAGACAATGCTCAAATTCAAAAAATGTTTTGAATATTTAAATGAAAACATAGTAATGGTTAGATGAAATTAACCATAATATTTAAGAGTTTACAAGCATTTTTGTTATGTAGCTGAAAGTTAATGTCATCTACCAGGTTTATCTCATAGCCAGTATTTCTGTCATGTATAATTAACAGACACCTGTTCTACCTGTTTCAATATTTACATGATTAATGTTCAGGCTTACTGATATACTGTGTTATATATACACCTGTAAATTTAAATACAAATTTGTAATTATTAACAGCTTCATTTTGCCCACAGCAGAATCCTGCTGCTCTAAATATAGAAGAACAGAAGAAAAGGGTTGTCCAAATTTTTTATGTATGCCATGAACTCATAATAAAAGATGTCACTGAATGCGGATGCCACCACAAATACGTTAAGTTATTTATAAGCCTAAGTGAGCTTTCTGAAAATTGGGTCACAATCTGACGTGGCTTTGAGCACACATTAGTATATCTCTCCAAGTAGACAAGTTACTTCACAACTTAGGAAGACATCCACTGAGAAATTTTAAACTTGAATCCATCATGAAGGTAGGTATGAACTGGCATAAACTATGAAAAAAAAAATTTACAGGATGTGTTTGGTATTAGAGCGTGTGATATAGAAATAGTTAGAGACTTGCCTACCGGCATGGGTAGCTTCATAATAAATTATTTGGTATGCTGAGGAGATGGATTTTGGTTTCTGTGATACTAAGAGTGTATTCCCAGAGATTTTAGATCGATCTATCCCCATGGGGAGTCTCACTAGATTACTGTCAGATAATCCATCTTAAATGTCCGTCCCGCCTACTACAAGCTGTAAGGGTAATTAACTTTCGTGCCCACTCGACTGACAGCTATTTGGTATGAACCCCAAGGGAGTTAGGTAGATCTAGTTTGGATCGATCTAATCTCTGTGAATAGGGTCTTGGTGGAGGTGTGTCCACAGGGCATGGCTGAACGTAGAACTCTGTTGATTAATCAGATTTGGTCAGAAAGTGGCCTGTCATTTACACACCTCTGTGAAATGGCTCTTGTGTTTCCTCTCTAGCTCAGTGTCTTTTAAAATTCATTATGTCCTGCTTTGCAGTTGTACAATTTTGTGTCAACCTATTTGTTTTATAAATCTGTTTAATAATATTCTGAAACAGTGTATGTTTTTATTTTTGTAGATAATTTTGCTTCTCATTTGGGTGTTCATAAAATATTTGTAAAGTTTTTTATGATATGACTAAAAGTTTCAGTTGGATTTATAATCCTGGAGTTTGAGATGAAGAATGGTTGTTGTATTTATGTTTGCTGAAGATTGCAGAGTTCATGTTTGTTTTATTATTCAAGCAATCTAATAGTACTCTTTTAGGTTGTCAAACGAGTGTCAGTGGTTAAAGAGTGGTTAATTTTTTTTTTTTGATGGAAATGTTCTTAGGGATAGCAGGTTTGGATATGGGACAGGCTCAATATTGGTGAACTATTCTGAATATCTGAGGCTAGGTCAGAAATTTTATGTATGACATCTTTACAGAAATATAGGGCGTTTGTCACATTGAAATTTATAAAAAATTTAAAGTTATATGATTAGAAAAATCAACGAATGAGAAGACGTGTTTGCATTGCCTGAAAATGTTTGTTTTATGTTTGATGTGACTAAGTTGTTATTCAAAGCGACACGATGTATCCTGTACTGTTGACAAAGAAGGGTGTAGTAGTCTCTGGTATTGGTGGGATCAGGTTACACCTGGTGGTGGTGACTGCTGTCTGGGTGTGGGTGTATTCTAGTTCTTGTGTTTAACACCTATATCATAGGTGTACCTGAGGTGAGGTCACCCTATCCAAGGACACAGAGCTTACTGTAGCATAAGACATTTTAGCTAGATGAAAATATTTTATTTAGAAAATATAAAATATTTCATTGTTGCTTCGCCAAGTTTTACATTGTTATTGTGTCTAGTTTTGTTTTTAGTTCTATGGGAAAATATATTTCACACTCTGATGACAGTGGCCTCTCTCTAATTAGATGTTTGTGCCCCAGATATGAGGCCTCTAGGCTGAAACGGCTGTAAGGCACAATAGACATGGAACAAATAGACTGATTAAGTTCATTTTTCTATTTGACTTTTTCTTTTGCTTTTAACAAAGGAATCATTTAGTGCAGATAGGGGTAGCTTTGTCCTTGGCCTATTTATTATTATAATAATTTTTTACTGAGCTTTCCATGCTGTTGAAAATATTTATTTCAACTTAGGAAACTGCCTAAGGCTCTGTTCTCACAACTTTTAGATCGATCTATCACCGCGGGGAGTCTCACTAGATTACTGTCAGATAATCCCCCTTAAGTGTCCGTCCCCGCCTACTACAAGCTTTAAGGGGTAATTAACTTTCGTGTCCGCCCGGCTGACAGCTATTTAGCGTGAACCCCCAGGGAGTTAGGTCGATCCAATGTAGGTCGATCTAATCTATGAGAATGGGGTGTAAATTAACAGAAAAGAAGCTATTGAAATCTATTTTTTCCGTATTTAGATACATTTACTTAAAAGTTGTTCCATATAAAACATTCAGTAAAAGTTCAGAGATTCTTATACCTTAAGATGAACTACTTAAAATGACTACTTAATTATACCTCATTGCAGCCAAGTGAAAAGTTGAAGGCATCCCTTGCATTTTAATTAAGAAAATTAAAGATGGTATTCAGTTCACACGCGAATTTAATGTGCAATTTTCTTTTTTTTTTTCCGTAGGACCACCACATAGGCAACATGAAGGCGCTGATATTGGTGGGGGGTTATGGGACGCGATTACGACCTCTGACCCTCAGTCGGCCCAAGCCATTGGTGGAATTTGGCAACAAACCTATGATGTTACACCAGATAGAGGCCCTGGTAGAGGTATGTAAACTACCTCGGATGATGAAGATGCTGATAATTTTACATTGAAATTATTTCACACCAAGTGAATTACAGTGTAATCAGATACTTGGTTACTATGACTGAAATATGAAGAGAAAAAGATGGTCTACAGTTTTTATGATAGCAATTAGAGGTCATAAATGAAAATTGTCAAACACAACCCGAAAAACTTACATATTGTTAGCTTACGCCCAACCAGCATAGGTCTTCATCAGGCCCTGTGTCTAATTTTTTAATAAATTAATTGGTTTATTAATAATTATTTCTAATTTGTTTCAGGCAGGGGTAACCCAGATAGTGCTAGCTGTCAGCTACAGAGCAGAGCTTTTAGAACAGGAACTAAAAGTACAAGAAGAAAAGGTCAGAGATTAGAAAAGATGATTAAACTTCTACTTGATATGATATACACATAATATTTTTATAATCTGTTTCTGTCCAGAAATTGATTCAAATCTTTTGACAATTTGTGACACTGTCAAGCACTTTAATCAACCACCTGGTAGAAGTGGGATTGTCCTGAAAAGGCAGCAAGATAGAAATGAGATGTAAGAGAAGTGTCGTATATAATTACATCAGATTTACATGTCAGAAATAATTTTCTTGAAATAAAAAATCATTCATATGAGAATGAGTCGGGTTATGATATCTGAATGATCTGTATTTCAGCTAGGAGTGACAATCACATTTTCCTATGAGGAGGAGCCACTAGGGACAGGTGGGGTGATTGTTAGCAAATGTTCTTTTCTCACAAAATCAATATTTTGTGATAATCTGAGATGCGTTTCCATGTCAATCTAACATCTTCATTTCGATGTTTTTAAGGTGTCACCAGTGGCATGGTGATATCGACAGATACATTAATATATCTATGATTGTTGGATTCACATTTGATAATTAAATAATAAGTGGAACCATTTTTATAGTGTGACAAGCATGAAGTGGAAATCAATAGGGCCATAGTGTATTAATTTATATTTATAATAACTTCAGAGTCATGCTGAAGTGCATAAAAATGATTTATTTTTGGCATGAAAATAAGACCATAATTTTGAAATAGTCATATTTTCATTGTAACAGTTTTGTTTGACCTCACATGATACTTTAAAGTATTAGTCAATGTTTGAAAAAGTATGGTATAGTATTTTATTTTTATTTATAGATCTACAGAACATATTTTTATGGATTTTAAACTTTAATAAATAAATATATTATCATTAATAATATTATTATTGTTATACACTACAGAACATATTTTTATGGATTTTAAACTTTAAATAAATAAATAAATATATTATTATTATTATTATTATTATTATTATTATTATTATTATTATTATTAACTGTTCTCCGTTCTCTCCACAGCTGGTCCTCTAGCCCTAGCCAGAGAAATCCTAGGCTCCAATGATGAGCCGTTCTTTGTCCTGAACAGTGATGTGATCTGTGACTTCCCATTCAAAGACATGGCAAGGTTTCACAAGAACCACGGCAGAGAGGGCACTATTGTGGTAAGGATGCTGTGTGTGTGTGTGTGCGTGTGTATGTGTGTGTGTGTGTGTGAGGGTCTTGTGATGTGATCTGTGAGGGTACTATTGTGGTAAGGATGCTGTGTGTGTGTGTGTGTGTGTGTGTGTATGTGTGTGTGTGTGTGTGAGGGTCTTGTGATGTGATCTGTGAGGGTACTATTGTGGTAAGGATGCTAGGGGAGGGAGGGGGGATCTGTGAGGGGTCCTCAGTAAGGCAACTGTTTCACGAAAAAAAAAAAAAAAAAAAAAAAAAAAAAAAAAAAAAAACTTAAGTAGGCTTCCCTGACTTAGTGCTTGGTTACCAACATTGTTAAGTCCGTCTGTGACTAAGTTTTCAACAAAGATTCTAAAAGGCTAAGTCACTTAGCTCAGCCTAGTCAACTAGGGATTTAAGATTCTTTGCGATATGGTAGCCAGATGTTAAAGCCCTTTTCATGTTTAGTGGTACAGCTTTCTTTACAAGTTTGATCGGTCCTAATGGGTAATGTAATTTTTTTTTCTGTTCTAGGTAACCAAAGTAGAAGAACCTTCCAAATATGGCGTAGTGGTGTATCACCCAGAATCTGGGAAAATTGACAGTTTTGTGGAAAAGCCACAAGAATTTGTCTCCAACAAAATCAATGCAGGTCTCTATATCTTTAGTCCTTCCATGTTGAACAGAATACAGGTGAGTTAGCTTGTTCTGGGATCCATCTTGGTGCTGCAGTGCCCAAAACAAATTTTAAATTCTGTCTATGGGTGTATTCCCAGAGATTTAGATCGATCCAGAAATAAAAATTTAGATCGACCTAACTCCCTCGGGGTTCACGCTAAATTGCAGTCAGCCGAGCGCGCACCATAGTTAATTACCCCCTTACAGCTTTTAGTAGGCGAGACAGACGCTTAAGCTGGCTAAGCTGACAGTAATCTAGTGAGACTCCCCACAGGGATAGATCGATCTAAAATCTATGGAAATGGGGTCTATGTCTTTGAGAAGTTTCAGTCTGCAACATTGTAATCCAGGATGTAAATAAACACTTGTATGGCTCACGAAGACTTACTAGGACAGAACTAGAACTGCTTCAGTCAATAACTTATTCATACACTATCGGCTCACTCCCAGTGACTTATGGTACTATGTGAAAGGTCCATCTGCATGGGGACTCTCGCTCAGTGCAATCCTCCTGGTGTTGAGTACAGTATATAGAAAAGCTGGTGATTATATAAGTACATTGGAAACAATTGAAACATTGGAAACGAGGTGTGTTAAACTGATTGCAATCAGCCAGAGTCCTGGCGGAGTTGGATCGATCTACATAGATGGATAGTTTTATTGGGAATGATCCCTAAGTCATTTCTACAATATAAGTGATATTGTTAGAAATAACTTAGTATCAAATATAATGGGGGAATGCATTGTAACTAGCAAGCTTTACGACTGTTGTAAATTATGAATCCCCTGTATATATGCATTTCCGTCTGAAGTATTTTATTTCAATTCAATTTTTTTTTCCAGCTACGACCAACCTCTATAGAAAAAGAAGTGTTCCCACACATGGCAGCCGATAGCAATCTGTATGCAATGGAGTTACAAGGTCAGTGGAATTATTCAAAATAACAACAGCTTTATGAAGGTCATTTTACTTTTAGATGGGACAAAATAATAAGATGATAGTGTTTTTATTATCATATATTGACCTCTGCCAAGGATTTTATTATTATTATTATTATTATTATTATTATTATTGTGTGTATGTGTGTGTTAGTTTTTAGTTAGCAGCCTTACTCAGAGAAATATTGACAGATTTTGATAAAATGTTCAGGAAAGGTCATACATAGGCTTGTGCTGAATCTATGAGATTTCGGTGATAACTAATTAATTAATTAAATTATTAATTAACCCATTAATTATAATAAAAATTGAACTGCCTTTGCTGTGACCCATATTGTTCAAGTTTTAGGTGGTGGTACATCCTCAGGAGGTGTTTATACATCTTTGATCCTCTAGTTTTCATTTGGTGTACTTTATTTCTTCAGGTTTCTGGATGGATGTCGGCCAACCCAAAGATTTCCTGACTGGCATGTGCCTGTACCTGACATCATTAAAACAGAAAGGAGGCCACTTACTTCACCATGGAGATGGAGTATTAGGAAATGTCTTGGTGGTGAGAAAATAGCTTTATCCCGGCTGGGTTCCTTTAACTTTTGTCAATTAATATGTGCTCTTGTTTTACTTTTGTGGATTTTTTTTCTGCTTTTTTGATTATTTTGTTGAAAAAGCCTCAATTTTTCATTGAAATAAACTCTTGGCATCAGTGTTTAAAAAAGTACTTAATAATAATAATAATAATAATAATAATAATAATAACAATAATAATAATAATAATAATAATAACAATAATAATAATAATAATAATAATAATAACAATAATTGTAAAAAAAAAAAGAAAAAAAAAGAAAAAAAGTCACATTTTCAAAGTAGGTACTTGCTTCTAGGTACACATAGTATCTTTGATTTAAAAGTATACCAGTGTATAAATATGGAAACTTGAGAAATTACGGTTTTCACAAATGAAAGAAAAAAGTAAGAAGTGACAACTTTCATGTCCCTGTGTTAATGTTCTAGGACCCCAGTGCCAAAATAGGCCGTAACTGCAGAATAGGACCCAACGTTACCATAGGACCAGATGTTGTCATAGAAGATGGCGTCTGCATCAAGCGTTGCACTGTACTGAAGGGAGCCGTCATTAAGTCCCATAGCTGGTTAAACTCGTGTATTATTGGATGGAGGTGTCATGTGGGGAGATGGGTAAGTGCTGCCCCCTATAGAAGGGAGGGGGAGTGAGGTAACGTCTTTACACTTTTTATGAAACACTGGACACTATTGGGTGACTAAGAAATAAGAATGCTCACTGGTCTGAAATTTAGAAATAGGGACTGTTTGTTTTACTAAGACATATTAGGGGTAGAGTAGGGGATCTTTATGCATTACTTTAATACTCCTCTGACTGTGAAGATTTTGCTTCTTTCAGGTACGCATGGAAAATGTATCTGTTCTGGGGGAAGATGTCACTGTCAAAGATGAAATATACATCAATGGAGGAAGAATTCTTCCGCATAAATCTATATCAGAGTCCGTACCTGACCCACAGATCATCATGTGATCATGTGACACTGTCATGTGACCAGGAGGGGCCAATCAGCTGGGTTGTTTGGCATTTTTCCAGTGCAGCTGTTTGCTGATCAATGTGATATATGAATATGACCAATTTGAAACTGTGGGGAATTAAACTAATCTTTATGAATTCTTTATTTTTAACTGTAAAGAAAACATTGGCATTGGATAAATGTAATATTTTCAAGTAGACTTCACGTGAATTCTCTGTTAACCAGTGGTTTGTAGCTGTAAGTTATCAAGTATGGATGGAGAAATTAGGCAGTATGCAAGTACAAATATGATCAAACAATCATGGAATATTTTCAAATTATTTTCTTATACTCCAGTCACTCTCTGAGGGGGGGTACACTATGTGTGCACAGTCTTGGAGCGTTAGAAGTATCAGTCTGTAGAGGTCCTATGGATCAAACACTCACACATGGAGAGGGGAATGAAACATTTTTTGATCTATGTGGTGCGTACTGGTTATTTTCTGTCCTACAACCCACCTGTTACTAGTCAAATCCTTGGGTACAGTATTCTCTCAGAGGTAGCTGGCTAGCAATACAGTGGGGTGCAGTTTGGCTAGCTGTATTATATCTAACTTTTTTATATGACAGATTCTTGTTTTCTCTTCAATAGAACAGCTGCAGCTTGTCTGTAGTTTGATTTCTTTAGGAAATGTAAAATAGTCAAATGCAGTTATAGAATACTTTTCAGTTTTGTAACTTTCCATCAGAATTTATTAAGGTTTTCAGGATGTAAATTGTGTCCATCTTCTGTCCTGTAAAAACAAATTTTCATCGCACTCCTCTGGTGAAAGATTGACATGTGCAAACTTTTTATGATATTAAGAGGAGATATGCGTACCTAAAGAATTCCAGGTGAACAAGTGTCATATTAATCATGTGAGTCACCATACACATTAGGTACAGCTATGGCATAATGGAGTCAATTAGGACATTATATTCAGGGTACAGGCTGGAGATTCTTTTCATGTGTGGTAAATACTCAATCTTTTCAATGGGCCAAAAATTATCAAACTTTCAGACATATAATTATATTATCACAAAACTTACGTTTCTGTGTAGCAGTTGTAATGCTTTTACTATATGGTACTATAGAGTAGCCTGCTTTTTAAGTACGTTTCTACCACTCAATATGAATGTTCTAATTTCAAGAATTTATGACTTAAACATACAGTTTCTGTAAAATTCAAATTTATCTCCCTTTGAAAAAATTGAGTAATTACTATAATTCTTTCAAATTAACTGCCCTTGTAATATATATAAAAGTTTCAGAGCTGTGGGCTGATGTTCTTGCGAGAGGGCGGGGGGGGGGGGGGGGGGCAACTGCTGAAGGCCTACAAC